CTGTCCTGCGACTGTACGACGACCCTACTACGTTCTTGCTACGTCTATAAAAACAACACTTTTTACCTTTAGTAGCGGCGCCAAAGGTTTCCGAGCAATTTTTTGTAATTTCATCGGTGACTCTACGGCGTCCTTAGTACGAGTGTACTACGTCTATTGCGTTTTTATTGCGTCCTTACTACGATGCTGCTGCGACTATGGCGACTCCACTGCGATCCCACGGCGACCTAACCAGGACTCAGCAAGAACGCAGAGTTTCTGCGACTGTTTTGTGCATGTTCAAAATAGTCGCCGACGGTCTGCGACCTTGTGCGTCCTTGGGTTCCTCGCTACGACCTCGCTGCGTTGCTGCTGCGTCCATGGCGACTGTGCTGCGTCCTGGGTCGTAGCAAGGTCGCAGTAAGGACGAAGTAAGGTCGCGAGGTATGTGTGAGGGCAGTATAACGGAATGGAAATATTTTTTCGAGATTAATGCTCCCTGTAATGTAGATATGAGCCGTATCACGATAAAACCAACATAATGGGTTTTGCGACCAGCATGGATCCAGACCAGCCTGCGCATCAGCGCATCTGATCAGGATCCATGCTGTTCGCTAACCAACTCTATTACAAGTAGAGAAACTGAAAGCGGACAGCATGGATCCTGATCAGACTGCGCGGAAGCGCAGGCTGGTCTGGATCCACGCACTATGTTGGGTATGTCGTGACGCGGCTCATATAGACCAGTACCTTGAGTGCAAAATTTCAGATCATTCGCTCACTTTGTTTTCTAAAATAGTTATTGTAATTGTGAAAAATTACCCAAAATTTAAAAAGCGTTGCAACACTTTCAAGTTTTAAACTCAAATTGGTCTAGGAATAGCACAAAATTTGATTTTCAATTTATATATATTTCTTAATTACCTTTTGAATATCTTTCTGTTATAAGTGCCACGTTACTTATTTATTAAGTTGGCGACTTAGATATTACGAGGTTGGAATGAAATGAGCATATATAAACTGAAAGAAGAAGCCCTGCAATACTAGTATATTGATGAACAGAACAGAACAGAACAGAAATTTTATTAAGACTTGTACAAAGTACATCATCTACAATACATTATATTCACATATATTTTAGCTGCATGAAAATTTACAAACAAAATCTGGATATCACATTTTACGTATTCAATAGTTTCATTATAAAATATAAGTAGATAAACTAATAAACAAACAAACAGCATGCATATAGCTATGAAAAAAGATGTGCATTTACTGTATACTTTTATAAATAAATAAGATTAATTATGAATATTTTTGGAATGGAAACAAATCATTTGGAGAATGAACATTGATTCAATTCAGACATTGTTAGTTAAAAGTGTATACCTAATGGAAAGAGCTTCTTTAACAAATTTTGATAAACGTACAAGCTGATTTTTATTTTTTGAGTTTAACAGTTGAGAAAATTTGTATACTGATGGATTTCTGTAATAGTAAGTTTTTAAGTGTTGTTTTCTTATAACGTCATAGCATTTACATATACAAATAAAATGGTATTCATCTTCAATATCTAAATTATTGCAACACAAGCAATATCTTTCTTCGCGAGGAATCCCATTTCTACTAAATCTACCTGTTTGAATTCTAAGCGGAAGACCATTCATTCTTAATCTACAAAAATAAAATCTAAAACACCTACGTAGTATATTAAGATAACATTCATATTCAAAACAAGATTTAACATTTCTATATATACATAAAACAGGACTTTTTTCAATATTACTGAACCATTCTTGCTTGAAGGAATCAATAAGGCGACATTTAAATTCTGATAGAAACATAACCTTGTCTATATTACAATTATCAAAAATGTATGAAAATCCATAGTTATTTAAAATATTTTTAACATTAGAAACCCAATTTGTATGCCCTTTATTGCTATCTTCAAGTGCTTGAGTATAAACTGTTTTTAATATTATATTGTCTGTATTTACAAGTTTTAACCAGAATTTAATAATTCTTACATATCTATGAATATATAATGGATATCTCCCAAGTTCACCATATACACTAGTATTACATGTATTTAATCTAACTTTTAACAACCTTTTACAAAATTTTAAATTTATTCTTTCAATTTCCTTAGATTTAGAATAACCCCAAATTTCACATGAATAATTCAGTATTGGTGAAACGAAGGCATCAAACAACTGACATAATGTTTTTGGACAAAGATCAAACTCTTTACATTTACATAACAGTATGTTCATTGATTTTAAAGCTTTTCCAATTAAATGTTCTTGATTTAGAATAAATTTACCAGTATAGTTAAAAATAGTACCTAGATAATTGAAATCATTAAGGTAGACCATGGGTAATGCATTACCTCCACTTTGAAGAGTATTCAAATAGGCTAAAATCACTTGCAAACTACATTGAAATTGAGGGGCGTGGGTTCAAACCCCAGAAGGGGCAACTTTTTTTTCTTTCTTTTTTTTTCTTTTTAACATTATTTATGTATCTCTCTGATCCCTTATGGAAGAAAAAAGGGTTTGATTTAAATTATATAATTATTGTAGGTATTTATTTGCTAAATAATGCCAAAATTTATAGCAAATATGACACCAGATATTTTCAAAATTTAATAAAATAAAAACCACACGGTAAAAGTATTTTATATTTCGCATGATCAACCAATATACCTTTAAAAAAATTTAGGCAAACTTTGAAGACAGTCCCTCATTATGGAAAATTTTAGGAATATTTTAAATAAGGCATTTTAGATAGGGAAATGGTAAAATTAGTGTTAAAGTTGGTGGGGTAGGGTAACATTTTTATACATATTCAGAACATTTTGTTTAGAAACAAACATTTTGCTTGTGTAATTTGTTATTTGAATGTTATTATTGTTTCTTAACAATGGGCAATAGAAAAACATTTTTTATAATGATGATATTACAGATTATTTAGAGTTTCCTCATTTCTGAAAATAAGCCCTTCTAATGGCAAAGTCTTAGTTCAGAAATATATCCATAACTCATAAACCACACGGTAAATTTTATTTAAATTTTGCATACAGGTGAACTTGAAGACATATAACCGTCCTATGTTGTCAATTTTAAAGTTCCTTATGGTTCCCATTACCCATGGTCTACCTTAACAGCTTCGATTGATGACGTGACATTGGTAAAATCTTCATACAATCAATTACTGTTTTGTTGTTTATTTATTTCTTTGTGACAGTGTCTATGTTTATAATACCATAGACAAACATAGACAAACCCAAGCATTTTGAACTTATCATATTTATCACAACAGGGTGTTGATTGTGCTTCAAACATTTGTCAATAATTATTGAACATATGACGGGTTAACTTTCACTCCCCTTTTCATATTGTTGACGGGTTACATATGGATTGTCTTTATGCCCAACCGGTGGCTTCTTTTAACGAGCGCGTTACGCCTGCACCACGGAGAAGTTTTATAAACGATGCCTGAATTAAATCTAGTCATTCTAAATTTAGAACTTCCATTGCATTCCGGGTTTGTAATCCTTACTAATTTCGAGGTATTTTGTTCAGGATAACCCTGTTGTTGAAAATTGAAGTAAATAATTTAGCGAAAATCTTCTCACCGAAACAGTCCGACATGTAAAATCTATATATTCCACTACTCGGCAGTCAGATTTATTTGTGTAGTATTCGGTAATCGACATCGCTAAAAATAGCATTTTCATTGATTAAAGTCAAATTCATCTGCGTAATTTGTGACTGTGCATTTATTGACAATTCTATAACACAACGCTACTTTTAAACTTTGAATGTGCTGTAATTTGTTGGATACTTGTAACAAAATAAAAATATTTCTTTCTTTTAAATCGCTAGTTTTAAGCTCTACTGAGAACTACTTGTTGTTAGGTTTGTCGTGAAATTCTGTGTCAGAGATTGAATGTCAGCTTTGTATTTACTGACCTTCGGTCAGAAAATACAAAAAGAAAATACTATATTATTATGATCAACAAATTACAGCTGCGATTTCGTGTTAATTTAACAACTAAGTCTGTCATTATGTTGTATACCCACCCGCGTGGGAATGCGAAGAAATGAAAAGGTCGATGCTTTTACTATATAATATTTAAATACCCAACCAGAAGTTTTACTGTACCAAATAGTGATTTTCAAGTTGTCCAAAGCCATATTAAATAAAGTTTATATGAATCTCTATCTCTTTTTAACCGTCATCTTAGTTGTCGAATTGGACACATTCCCATTTTAATAGGAGATGATGCTTCATTTTGTATAGTTTGTAATGCATATTTCAATATCAAACATTTCCTTCTTGAATGACATGATCATGCATAGGTTCGCAACAGATCGAGTTAATTCCCTCTCGGAATTTCTTTACTCACTTCCTTCTAAACATTAAAGGACTTCTTAGAAGAAACAAACTTGTACTTTAATATTTAATATTTACATTACTTACTTTATAAGTTTGTACTTATTTTGGAGGTTAATAATCATATGTTAATAAGTATATTGTTCGGAGCACTAATAATAATCAAATGAAAACATTTTTAAATTAAATGATGCTAGGGGCATGGACATAGCTGTGTGTTTTATTTAACCGGTACTGTTGGCCTAGTGGTTAAGGCGTCCGCCTTCGGATCGGGAGGTCGAAGGTTCGAGCCCACGGGGGGCGTTAATGCAAGGATGAATGTTTCTCGTGAGACTCGTTCCGAAATGGCCGCTTCGTGAGCCACTAGATAGTTAAAATGAATGGTTACCGAATTCTATTCGCCTAGCACCTGGCATAGCGATATGAGTTGGGAGGTACATGGTATGCAAGTATCATAAGTCAGAAATGGCTGGGCCTTTCAGTAGGGGTGTCACTATAATAAACAAGACCTTTCACACGACAACATCATCATCATAATCACCTCATCATCATCATCATCATCATCATCAACAACAAAGAAGACAAAATCATTTCATTGAAAAAAAAATCGAATGTAGTTGAAACTGAGTTGTACATTTATTTAAACAAATTTAACAGCTTTATGAACAATTGGCACATTGTGCTGAATCTATTTGCCACCTCCAAATCCGAATCCGCATCTGCATCTGGCATCGACGCAGTGCCATCCGAATCTACAGTCGGATCCACCACAGTCTGACTGAACTTTGCATCCGGTTGAACCTCCGGTTGATGATACTGAAATTGATAAGAAAATGGATTAGACTAGCACCCCATAACAGTTATATAATTTTATATAAAAGCGAGTCATTCATATAGTCAAAGTGTACAAATAAAGCAAATCATAGTATCACGTTTTCTGAAGATTCATGTTTTAAAAAGGAAAATATTGTCGAGTGAACAAAGAAAGTATTTTTTTTTTAAATAGCAAATGGCACATTTAACGAAAATTAACAACAAATAGGCCAGGAAAAGTTAAAAAGTGTCCTTACTGCGTTAGTCACGCAGTAGAAATATGGTGATGAATACTACATTACAAGAATTTTGAATATATTTACTTTTCTTAAAATTTTTGTACATTTTAATTTACAAAGTTGATTTTCTTGAAATATTTTCGTTCATCTGGAGGCATGTAGCTTTAAGCGCTTAAATCCTAGACTAATTACCTTGAACTTTAAAGAATGAATAATTTAAAAAAAAATGAGAAAATTGGGTTGGGTGACCAACACTTTCCTCGTTTATCTTGATGCGTATAGCTGTAAACACAGCTTAGACTTTTGAAAACTTGGTTTTCTTAAAGGCTTGATCAAATTAAATAAAATCACCATCTTGACAAACTAAGATTTTCAACTATGAAATTGGAAGATCTGTATCTAATATCCTTACCCTGGGTACATGTGCACTGTCTTAAATGACATTCTAGTTGGTAATTATTTTCTGGACATGTTACGTGATCACAGTCGCCAACAGATCTACATTCCTCGGCGCTTGTTAGAGCTAAAACAGAAGAAGATTTATTATATACTTATAAATGAAATATTGAGAAATATTGATGAAATAAAATGCGTATTTTCATTTTCCGTATTTTCACTGTAAAAATTTATTTTACACTGCAGTGAAACATATTTTCCGTATTTTCACTGGTGTCTTGCCGGACTACTTTCTTTTAAATTCTGCCAGTACACAAAATTTAAGGGAAAGTCTTTCAAATTCTATCGCATAAAAAGATTAAAAAAATGTATATAATAAACAGAAAATTCAAGTTTTGTGGCATGAAAATTACAAAAATTTCACTCGTGGCTACCGCCACTCATGAAATATTTATTTTCATACCACTCGATGAAAATAAATCATGTATTTATAGAAAAAACTTGAATATCCTCTATGTATTCTACTCATTTCTTTTGTGACAAAAGACAAGCCTTAGCAGTTGCAATCAGTGTAAAGTGGTGAATACAGTTTCAAAATTACAAATGTAAAAATGATGTAAAAGTACAACTAAAATTTTCGTAAGATATGGGAGAGAAACCAGATAAAAGTGATTCAAAGAAATTTATTTTAGTATCTTAGAGTAATATTAAATTAAAAAGAAGCAAGTGTTGTGAGATTTATAGCTGTTCGCTATCATTTTCTCTACTTGTTATAGAGTTTGTGAGCGAATAACATTGATCCTGATAAGACTGCGCGGATGCACAGACTGGTCTGGATCCAAGCTGGTCGCAAACGCATTATGTTGGTTGTGTCATAGCGAGGCTCATTAATGTAATATCAAAATAAGTAAAGTGAATTCAAATACAAGTAAAATGGTTTCCTGCGGGGAACATTTTTAATGATATAAAGATATTTCATTTAACTATTTTCAACATTGTTTAGGGGGATAAATAAACGTTTGTGTCAGGAATATAGCTAACAATAAACGATCAATATAGAAGAAGTTCTTTGGAAACTGGTAACCGTTGAAGACCGGAGAAGGCCGAACATAAACAATTATTTCTTTTTAAGAAAATGATTAAATATGCCTACCATTTTATGACTAATTCCGAGCAAAAAAATAATTTAAACACACAAGTTTACGCAGAAAATGTCTCTATTTATTATGCCAGATGCCACTACGAATATTTTAATTGTGTAGATTTTCAGTATTATAAACAATTTATTGTTTGTAAAATTTGAGATAAATATTAAAGAAACATTGAAATTTTCAAACACATCATTCAAGTTTTTCCACCTTAAACTGTAAAATAATTATAGAAAATTAGAAAAGAAATACAACGTAATCGTTTTTTGTTCTTAATTAGGGTCATTGCGGACTATGACCCTAGAGGTTAATCCGTAACGTACCGGCGCACGGTATTTAGCTAAGTTTTCGAAAAGGTCAATTAACCAATCATATACGGTTTACAGATCACATGCTCCTCCATGTACCGAAAACAGGTCACGTGCTCCTCCATGCCTCAAAAGTTAAACGCGTACCAATACCCTGCGGTCTCCAGACCGCAGGGAATAATGTTATGTTGTGAAAAGTAAAATTGACTATTTAAGGTAAAATAAAGTATAGTAAGGTAAATTCAAAGTGTAGGACATTTATAGAAGCAATAAATTGATCAACAAAGTTAAAATATGTTTCTACAAATATAACAAATTTTGACCATTTGAATACTATTAACTATATATAATATATATATACATGTATAAATGATTTTTGTCTCAATAGGAAGTTCAGTTACAGTCTCTATTTCAGAAACGATATCAACATATATGACGTATGCATAACTAGTCTTCATTCCTTGGAAGTAAAGGTATAAAAAGAGAATTTTTGAAGCATTAGATAAGCGCGTGACATTTGTCCTTCTATAATTTTCGTAAAATTTGGCAGTTCAAAATAAAATACGTATTTACTTTTGCCACGTGAAGACATCATATAACTACATGTATGACTAAATTATATTGTGTGATTGTTTGTAGTATTGAAGTAAATATTTAATTACTTGTAGTCACAAAATTAGTAAATAGAAACGGCGCGCTATGGTTTTATTTGTCTAATATTTTCCCTAGTATCTTCACGTTATCAACTCTCCACAATTTTGATAATACAATACTAGTATATGAATTTCTAAAAGTCGCACAATTTAACACATAAATAACTTTACAATGTTATTAAAGATATATACTTTGCTCGTCATTGAGTAAAATATTTTTGTCAAATATTCATAATTCTTACTGTTAGGTCTAATTTGAATAAAAGAATGAATACACTATGTATGGAAAGCTTCGTTCCCTATTTAAGATCAAGTAAAATTGGTTTTCCTTAAAAACTGCCCGTTTTTAATGACACTATGTATTCATATTGTGACTGCCTATAGTGTATAAAACTTAAAAAAAACATACATTGTAACATATCTACTTTGTGTAAAGTCAAAACATGTTTATTTTATATTTACATTTTCAAAGAGACTGTGAATCAATTAACAATATTTTCTAATATCAAACTTGAGCATAGTACATATATATCTTTAAAGAAAAATGTCACCTACCAAGAACGGCTACGAATACGGCGCAACAGAAAACAACCTTCATGATGATAGAATCAATTTGATACTGGTTTGTCTCAAATTATGATCGTAATTTTATAGGGAACATATCGTGAGTCTGTTACGAGACAAATTGACATATGGTCAAGTCACTCGGTCAAAAATTGCGTTATTACACGATGTCCAGATAAGTGGAATCAATTTTAGAAAGGAATTGTGATGTGAATGAAATCTTCGTGGGGTTGCACATTGTTTCAGCTTAATATAGAAAATCTAAGAACCGTCACGCTTCTATGTATTATTTGTTGTCAAGATTTTTGACAGGTTATAATTATGGATATAAGTTTATATAACCACAAAAGCTAGGCGAGTTATATGTCGCAAATGTCCGCTCATTCAGATCATATACATTATATAAAGTCTTCATAACGAACTTATAATACTTAACAATTCTTTTATTCAATGTAGAAAACAAATCAAAACTTTTTACCGGCAATGTAATATAATTAATGGTACATATTGTAGGATGAATAGCAATGTTACAAACGTGCGATATTACAAGTCTATTGAAAAAAAAAATGGTAAAAATTGTCAGGTAAACCATTAATTTTGCAAAGTTAACAATAAAATGGCTTTCATTCTTTTTTTGTTAAAAGGGGAAGAAATTAAATGTTTCGGCGAGCTTATCGAGGAGTTTTCTACGGAAGAGTATACTGACCCCCCTTATATATTTTATACGCCTGTTTAAAATACGACGATACATGATAACAACATAGTTCGTAATGGTTTTTTAAAAGTTATATATATGGTTCATATTGATCTTTTCTGTTTTAGGCTACTATACTGTTAAAGATACGTATTATAAACTTAAGTCTTTCTTAAGACCTTACCTTTATTTATAAGAAATATGTTTTTTCTTCTTTTCATTGAAATTCTACCTCAAGAAGCAGACGTTTTCTTGGAGTAAACGCTTTTATTTATTTGAAAACAGTATGTTTTCGAGCCATTATTTGTTTCACAGATATAGAGATGATATAATCATATATAATATATATATTCTTTACCTGAGTTTTAAGCTTAGATGATGTTTTATATGTTTCCTAAAGTAAGTTGATCGTTATGATAACACGCTTGCGGTACACGAGAACGTTGCCAGTATTATATATATAATTTTAATTTAACTTTTATATATTATTATTATATAAATGGTATTGAAACTTTGAGCAACTTATACTATACATATTTCTTACATCTTTTTCAATGATTATACATGTTTTTCTCATATATCAAAAAGAGAAAATGGCCATTTAATAATATAAAAATAGATATTAAATAGACTTATTATACCAAGAGAATTTAATTAAATTTATTAATTCATACATCTTTTTTCATGAGATTCATATGATAAAGGCTAAAGTGTACAACTACTGTATGTTAAGAAGAACATTCTGTTCTCTTAAATTTCCAAATATCATCGAAGAAACAATGCATATTTGTGATTTACGGTGTATAATAACAGATAAAACTCTGCAAGATATATTTTAGATATCATATAACTTGTCAATTTTTTTAAAGATATGTATCAAAGGTTTTTTTCTTGAAGGCATAAAAAATATATAAGGGGGGGGGGGGGTCAGTATACTCTTCCGTAGTTTTCTTTATTGTTTACGTATTTTGTCGACGGCAATTACATTTTTCCACCTAAATTCTTTTGATTTGACAATTATCTAAAAATAGCATAATGATTCAACCTTTACAAAAACTGAAGGCCCATTTATACAAGCTCAATAGTTTACATATCGGCGTATTTATCAATTTAAATCATATTTGTAAACATGAAACATTGTTTTACTTCACGAACATGATATAAAATTTGTCTTGAGAGAGGAGGGAAAATGTTAAACTTTGTTAAATTACCCAAAACACGAAGATACAATGTAAATTTGTTTATTGAGAGCGATTAGAAACATAAACATAAACATAAAAGTTGAGCGCGCACGTGTAACCTATCAAATTTGTAGTCATAAATCTTGAAAACTTCTTGTATCTTAAAGCTGAGATTGCTAAGATATAACTAAGATGTTCTTATTTCATTGTCTGGAATGACACCTTTAAAGCAGCATGCCTCCAGATTCATGCTAATTTTCATAAAAAATTTAAAAATTATATCTGAATGTATAATATATGATGTAACCAAAATGAAGCCATTTACACATTGTCCATGGCACTTACAATCCATGTAAATTACAAAAAAAACCTGGTCAAAATATGCATAAATAGCCCTTCCTGCGTTAGTAACGCAGTATAAATATAAGTGTAAATATAAAAAAAATCAGTCATCGACCGCACATAACATGTAAAATATTACTTGAATCTTGAATCATTTTACGTTTCCTAAAGTCGTTAGACTCATCTGGAGGCATGCAGCTTTAATGACCTCGTATATGCAAATGTGACTTTGAGTGTTGATGCATATTTTTTTGGTAAACTCCCTAGAACTCGCCTATCAGTTGAAAAGTAGCCCAAAGAATATTAAAACGGTCATTTCGAGTGGGATACGCTTTTCAAAGGAAAGTCTGCTGTTTATGGCATTCTTTATGAATAATGTGAAAACTGTGAACCATTTTGTGCAAAAGACTCAATGCAAGTATCTTTTGTTGAAAACAAAATGCATGCGACAAGTACACGTCCCTATGAATGTGACAGATATTCCAGCATGGGCAAATTTCATGAATGATAAATGGGGCAAAGTAGCCTTTCATGTAAACATGTTGGATCGTATTCCAGCCATACAATTACAACACCCACATCACCTATAAAAAACGTATATATTGTTTAACAAAATTTGCTTGATAAGCAAATATTTGTAACTGAGACAATGTTTGATGGTTTGTTTCTAATATAATTTTGCATTTTACCTATACGTATAGAGACTAGGCGTTTTAGGTTTTGCATTTCAATAAGGATTATGTTTCTCTTAACTATGTATTGTACTAGTATGTGCATTCTTTCATATTCATAATTCGGTGTTGTTTTGCCATAACCATTTCCCTCAAGTTCTTTGTCATATCATGTAAAGTTATATGATTAATGTAATTGATCATAAAAGGTTCAAATAGGTCCATTGGGCCGCGGGCAAAAATCTTTGTTTGTTTGTTTGTTTTGGGTTTTACGTCACATCGACACAGTATAGGTCATATCGCAACGTTCCAGCTTTACTGGTGGAGGAAGACCTCAGGTGCCCTTCCGTGCATTATTTCAGGCACGAACGGGCACCTGAGTAGAACCACCGACGTTCCGTAAGCTAGCTGGATAGCTTCCTCACATGAAAGAATCCAAAGTCCCTGTCGGGATTCGAACCCACAGCGGTGAGGGGCAAGTGGTTTGAAGTCAACGACCTTAACCACTCGGCCACGGACGCCCCTAAACTCTTTATCAAATTGTATTGTATTTTATAAATGTCCATTGCATATATCATTATCATGAACAATTATCTATCAATCTATCTATATAATTTGTTCTCTACTTGTTGTTATAATTGTATATTAGGTAAGTTAACGAGATGTGTACGATAGTTCGTAAATAACGAACTATTCGAGACAAACACAAAAAATGCTACAATGGTCTTACGTCAGTGTTACGAGACATCCACTCATTGATTTATTAAAATCTGCCAAAAATGACAAAAAATCTGTGACATGAAATGAAATGACATGAGCAATAAATGGAACAATCTAATTGAAGATATAATTATGCTGTTGTAGTAAAATTTGCTTGCTTAAGTGACTTAACAATAATGCTGCTGCTGCTGCTGATGATGATGATAACAATGAAAATGATGATGATAATAATGAAAATGATGATGATGATGATGATAATAATGAAAATGATGATAATGATGATGATGATGATGATAATAATGAAAATGATGATGATGATGATGATAATAATGAAAATGATGATGATGATGATGATAATAATGTAAATGATGATGATGCTGCTGATGATGATAATAATAATAATAATAATAATAATAATAATAATAATAATAATAATAATAATAATGAAAATTATGATGATGATGATGAAATAATAATAATAATATTAGTAATAATAATAATAAAAATAATAATAATAATTATAATAATGAAATGATGATGATAATAATGATGATGATAATAATATTGATAATGATTATGATGATGATGTTTTTGTTGTTGTTGATGATGATGATGATGATGATGATGATGATGATGTAGTTCGAGAAAACTCGCACCTAAAAAAAAGCCTTTGCTAACCTAGGATAAGCAAAACTTAAACATAATTGCACACCAACAAAAACAAAAAAACAACAAAAAACAAACAAACAAAAAAAGTTAAAACGGGAACGCTATGCCAATGAACAGACTATATTTAAATCCGCATGCCTACAGATGAGCTTAAAGGTTTCAAAAAAATCAAACTTGAGAAAAATGTATTAAGATTTTAAGGAAATTTAAAGGATTTAAGATTCATGTTATGTTTTACTGGTTTTGCAATGTTTATCCCCATATATATCTACTTTGTTACTAACGCACTAAGGGCTATTCTTGCATAATTTGACCCCTTTTTGTAATTTAAGTGGAATGTAATGCCGTTTGCAATGTGTTAATTACTTTCTTAGTTCACTTTGAAATAGTTCTTTTAAATACATTTTCATGAAAATCATCATGAATCTTAATTGAGGCATGTTTATTTTTTTCAAGATAAATCACAAGTTTAATATTTTTTGAAGCACACATTATCATGCGACTGATGAATGTTTTTGCAATTATAATTATGTAAAATATGTAAATAGATTGTCTCATACTTGACACGGTTTTAGACTCGTGGGAACGTGACGGCTGTTTGTCATTCAATTTCTCATTGAGTAGAAATCGTGATTTTTTAAATCTAAATATAGCAGTAAATATGCATAAATGCATATCCAAAATTTGTATTTCTAATTTTAGCGCTCAAGGACAACAAGCAGTTCGATATGAAATCAAAACAAAGAAGAAACAAATAAACTTGGCGTATCCTGCATACGGTTGAATTATATGCAATCCGGTGTTACATACCACATTTGAATAATGATAACCCTGCAAATTAAGGCCACTTCTTATGAGTTTTAATTGATAAAGTGGAAATAAAGAACCCCCAGTCTTTAACAAAAACACCCAGTATCACTCGAACTTACGCTTTCTGTGTTGAGAATTTTCACTGAAACGTTGGCTCCGCAGTTCAAGGTTGGTCTTGGTGTAGAACGGTCTGATCCAATATGGCATTGTCTGTTGCTTAACTGAGGTCAAGAAAATTACTTGGATTGAACCACGTAACCTCTTGGATATGTATAATATTCACTGTCTTTAATTTGAGACAGTCCGGGTGTATTTTAAAGCGGAACGTCTCCGTATAAATTAAATAAATAGTTTAAGTATCAAACTATAGACGAAATGTAATTTTAATCAAGATATTTACAATCACTGTGAAACTATAAATCTTTTATGTAAAATGTGATAATGTTTACTATTTTTTATCACAAAAAAGTACGACACTGTTACCATAGTACTAATGTTGAACTTATGTTGCATCATATTTTACAAGATTTTATAAATATTTCTCAATACATGTACTTCATTTATACGTATTTAGTGCTTTGTGTTTATTTTTAGTAGTTTTAGTTTCAAAGGAAATAAAAAGACATTGACATGTTATTTATAGATATATCCCCAATATTTGAACCTATAAATTTTTTAATGTGTAGCAGACGACGGAAAAAAACAAAAAAACAAAACAAAACAAACAAAAAACAACAAGAAAAAAGCATATATCAAAAAACAACATGAACATGAACAAATTTGATTATTAAAATTATTTAACCAGGTAGCAAACAGAATGTACGCTTGCCCTACTTTTAAAGATATATATTGGTCAAGTATTAGGATCGGACTTAATCTTCCGGAAACTATGCAATAAAACACAAGGTGTGAGATCCTTTTACGTGTGATCACTATATATGGAAAGTTTAACAAGAAAAGTGAGAAACTGACAAAAACTTTGCTTGTAGAAATCACGTACTGTTATGACCGGATTTTCGATCTCTGACTTGAACAATATGAAAACAGATCACATAATAAGTATATCCCAAATGATAATATCAGACATATACAAGCAGACACAATTATGGACCAATATACAGTTAAACCTGTTTCAAAGACCACGTTCATATAAAGATCACCCTGTAAATAAAGACCACTCTTCAATTATCCTTCATTGATTAAATAGAACAGGGTTATCTCTAAATAAAGACCATTTGTCTACTAAGATGGTATTTGGTCCCTTTTTGTGTGGCCTTTGTCCACAAGTTTGTCTGCTATATATTTAATTTGAAAGTGTTGAGTTTGTCTATAGTATAAGAAAGTTTCGAAGCAGCCAAAAGTATAGGGAATAGCCTGGCATATGTCAATTATTACCACAGCTAAAGCGCGGCGAAATATGCCGCAATGCTATATTAATTTTAGATATATCATCAATTTTTGAACTATATATATTTACAGTACTAGTGTACGTATAAGCGGGCGAAAAGTGGAACACATTTTTAAATGTTTGAATTGCAAGAAAAATGAACACGATTTATCATCAGTAAAGTTATTGTTTGTTTTCTCTGTTGGGTTTTAAGTCACACAGACACTCTAAAGGCTATACATAGACTTCGTAGCCAGACTGGCGGGGTTCCTTGTTGCATTTTTGAATTGTTCCAGGCACGACCAGACTCTTAATTAAGTAGAACCACTGACCTTCCGTAATATAGCTGGAAACTTGTGTTCAAATCACAATCAAGACTTTAACATCCTTAAAAAAGACAAGATTTTTTTTATTAAATTAAAAGTTTTTTTCAATTAAATATATAATGCATTTTGTAAAAGGAATATTTTCGTATTGTTCCTGTAATATAATACAGATTCATTTTCTATTGTTGCTGTTGTTTGAGAATTAGATGTTTTTTGTGGTGTTGATTGAAAATTGCCAAAAAATCGTACATGTATATGCACAGAATTAATAAATAAAGACAATGATCGAACCATTGATTGTATTATTTTATATGTATTACGTAACATCTAGGAAACCATCTTTCAAGTGATGTTTATTAAAATAAAATCATAAAATTAATATTTAAATAAAATGAAAATATTTTTTTAGACTTAAATCTAACATTTACTTATTATTTATTCAGTAATTACAAATTTCTCCACAAGTGATCGACTACTAATCCCACATGATTTCTGAATCTGCCGTGAGAGACAAATGACTCAATGTCCGAGATCAGTTATCATGGAGAACTTTCGCCATGTCCGAGGGTCAAACCATCGACCCCTGGATTACAAATCGGTTACCCTCAACCCCCCCCCCCCAATTGAGCCAAGTACACGTGGACGGTTTGTGAATAGTGAAGCTTGGCTGAATTATATTTCATTGCATTTGTTCATAAATGCGAATTAATAAATTCGCTGACATTAAGAAAAACTTAGTATCACATGCTATGTACATGTATTTTAAAATCGTTTTTTTCAAGTCATGTTAACACTATGACCCTTCCAACATGTTTTACTACGTTATTATCCAAATCGTGACTGGATTTATAAAGGCACCGTACCCGTGACTCAGACATAATCAAAGTCAACAAAATAAAACCCCGTGATGTGTAACATAATACACCGACCATTTATACCCGAATCACGATTTTTTACGCTGCACATACTGTACGGTATATAAGGCGTACAGAGATACGGTCTCTTACAGAATATACCCGGAGCAGTTTCACAAGATCAGAGAAAAAGCGGGAAAAGGTAAGTGTTAATTTTCTTTCAAATTTAATGGTAAGCTTTAAATATTTGTTAGAAACAATTATAGTTTAAAAATTTAATCAAGTCGATAATGAATTCTGTTTATATTTTTATAAAGTTTGTTTAGTTTATGATTTTTTTATTATGACGAAATTGTCACTGAAGGCAACAATTAAAGATATGAAAAGATGTAAAAATATTTCACGCATCGAATTTTTTAAATAATAAAAAATGATTTTTTGTTTTGTTTTATAATTATATAAACAACATACCTCCCACGGTATGCAAATTTTCTTTTTAAACAACCTTATCAACGGACTTTATATTCCAACATATAACACACATAAAATTAAACAATTCTGAAATAAATAAATAAACAAACAGTTGTTATTGCAATTTTAATCATTGAATATGAACATTTTTGTCAGTATATAATGTTGTTATATATATACCGAAAGTTTAGTCGCAATGTTTTTGTTTTGTTCTTTCATTTAATTAAACTACACCGTTTCCAATACGTTTTATGAAATAAGAAATGTTCTCTACATAGTCAGAAAAAAATGAATCAAAACAGTGATTTAATTTAGCCGAGGTAATTTTCTTTTATCAAAAGAAGTAAAATACATGTAAAGTAAGATGAAATAAGTTGTAAAATGTTGCGCCATACCATGCTAACTTCAGTGTTGATATGTTTTTCTGGTCCTTCAAGATCATTGATTTTAGCACATTAGTGCTTGAGATTGTAGCCGGGACTTGGGACTTTGGGAGTGCACCCACGGTACTACGCAACCAAGACTAAAAGCACACTCATAGCAAATAACAGGTCAACCATTAAGGGAAGTAAGCTCGCAGAGCAGTGATGAGAAAATAATTTTTCCTTGCAGTTAAAATGCTGTTTTTTATCAACCAATCTCTTTCTACTTTCTTTTTTTCTTCAGACAAAGACAATGAAACTTACAATTCTATTCATAACACTGTGTGTAATCGCGGTTGCACTGGCTGCGCCTCGTGATAGACAACGAGGCCAAGGCGCCAGACGACAGAATGTTAAAAACGGTGAAGAGAAATCTGTAAGCCAAGATAGTTCACGCGGAGGAAGACGGGGGAATAAATTACGTAACGGAGGTGACGAAGATTCAGACAGTGATTCTAAAGATGAGAACGACTCTTCAGATAGTGAATCTAAAGACCAGAACGACGCAAGAAGACGCAAGGATAGAAATCAAAAACAAGGTGAATGTTGATTAAATGATTACATTGTTTTGATTTAGTCCACGATAGAAGATTCTTTACATAAACATTTATATAAATAAGTTTAAGGAAGTGCTTGTGAAAAAATTAGATAAACAAAGAATGAATAAAATGTATAAATAAATGAAAAATTAAAAATCTTTTTTCCTATTCCGCTCTAGACTGTGAAATGCATGAAACATAGATAAAATTCTTTTTAATATTTTATTTGCAAGAGTCACCTCATCAATAACATACATAATTGACATCTTAATATATCTTTTTTCAATAAATAAGTATGGCTTTTCAGAAGCAACGCTTTGGAAATACTTGTGTATTAGAACCTTATTACTTGACTGAATATTTTGTTCAAAAATAAAAGTGGCTCTTAGTTTGGTTAAATTATAATAATCAAATCACGCAAAACAAAACTAATAATGAAATACTAAGCGATGGAATTGATAATTTTATCCTGCATGCACATTCCCCGGTCATGAAGAATTTATATTGAGTATTAAGACACCATCTAGTTGTAAGATCTTCTTTTCGGTCCTTTCCGTTAGTCCCCAGATTACATATGAATAATCGTCGGGCTATTCTAATTAATAGAATGTCCAAAATGTCTTTATTCTTATAATTCACAAACACTTTGTACATAATTGAATTTAAACACGCACATTTTCATAGCGAAATTGTAATGATTGCTAAATAAAAGTTTCTTAAAACTAAGGTTGTATGAAAGTTATGTAAATTCTAGCCTTTAAACTGTATTTTTTTTTGAAGAAAATTCCAAAGCAGATGAAGAGTCAGCTGAAACTAAACGGCCAACAAGGAAGACAACTACTAAGGCGCCACCTGCCGGTGATGATGGTGCAGAGACCCCCAACGGTGATGATGGTCAAGAGACCCCCAACGGTGATGATGGTCAAGAGACACCCAACGGTGATGATGGTCAAGCGACACCCAACGGTGATGATGGTCAAGAGACCCCTAAAGGCGATGATGGTGCAGAGACCCCTACTGGCGGTGATGGTGCGGCACCAGGTACAGGAGGCGGAGATGGTAAAGTGCCACCATCCGGGGGAAACGACGACCAGGTTGTTCCACCTGAAAACAACGGCGAAGAGGCACCACTCAGAAAATAGAGGTCTAATAAATGAACAAATAACTGTAAAAGAAGATAATTGTCATCAAATCACATTACATGCATTGACAATGTACAAACAGTTAACCATACAATTCTTAGAAGATTTGGGTTTTATTTACACAGTATTATTGTAGATAACAAATTAGACTATTCTGATTTTAATAAATGATAACATCATGGTAATTGTAGTGTTCCTGTGTTTTGTTTTACAAAAGAGTTCTTCGCCTCAACAGTTGGTGTCGTACTTTATAATGTTGCCAAAAATTCAGCTGAGATGTTTATGTACAAATGTACCAGAAAGAGTGGGATGATTTGGTAAAGCATTATTCATCGTTGATAACCTAAATTTCGCTTCTTACTGGACAAACAGATTTCGGCCTCCTAGGCTGGAGAGCTTATGTTGTGAGTAAAATCCACTTTTCTCACTGCCGTGGGTTTGAGACCCTCAGAGCATTTTGATTCTCTAATTGTGAAGAAGCATTCCAGCTAGTTGGCTGTTGATTTTACAAAAAAAAAGATCACATATTTAATGTTTCAATGTCATATAAGCAAAATTCACATTAACAAAAAGGCATTTATTCTTACATTTCAATATATTTCAGTATGATTATTTTTAAGGGTGACCTCCTTTAAATGTCTTGTTCATAACCTCTATGTTGTTTTTTCCCTGTGTTGAAGCTGAGGTCTTCCCCACTAAATAAGTCGGAAATTGCTATGCTACTTTGAAAGTGCCTATGTAAGTCTGAAAATATGGACATGGAAGTAAATGTGGGAAAATATAAGTATTGTGAAGTTTGCACGAGTACGGACATGTAAATTTGTAGGACGTAATTTCTACATTCGTAGGTTAAAAATGCACATGCATTTCTTTTATAGAAATTGAAATTTAGTTTTTTTATTTGGTAATTGTCAGAAAAAGGAACATACACAATATAAGACGTGCTGAGGGTATAATCGGGATATAATTTATGTTCAAGGCATTATGATAAACCATTACGGGGACCACTGTCATTAAATAAACAAGAAACATGATGTCAGATTCCTGGCACATTACGACATTGACTGAATGACAGTATACGACGAGTACTTCTAGTACGGACGCAATGGAAGTTTCGTGTCGTATCACTGCGCAGATCAATTGGTAGCATTTTATTCAGCTCTTCTTAATTAAGGTATGCAGTGCACAGCTGACCATTCCTTCGCAGCCACTTTACGCGTGCATAACACCTCAATTGTGTGTATTTTGTAAACTCTCTCCACCAATATACTGATGTGCGCATGCGCTTGTACAAAAATAAATGCGAAAATTGTTTGTTTGTTTCATTTTACGCATTTTCCCCAACAGTATTTCAGTCACATAGGCGGGTAGTTTCCTAACCATCGTTCCTGGAGAGTTACACCAATAGACTACCTTCCTTCGCGTTTAACTACCAAAGCATCTCCCGGGGATCGAACCCACGACAGAGAGGTAACTGGATTAGAAGTCATCGACTCTAACCGGTAGTCTAAAGTTTGTTACGTCATGGGTTTATGAACGACATAAATATATATGTGCTCTAACTACGTTTATTATCTAAACTATATTCTATGATACATGTGTTTACATATCAGTGTCCGTGATGGTAGTATATTAAGATCTAGGGAACTCTCTATTATAAAGGAGCTGTACGCACCTAGAGTATCATGTTACAGTTTACTCATCATGCTACATCTTCCATCTTTTACAAAATTACTGTTATATTTAAACATAATTTTATCATAGGTATAACCGCATAGATTATTTGAATAACGCTTAAATAGATTCAAGGAAGAAAGACTTTATATTAGATGATGATTACAGTAACATATAGTTAATAAATGTTCATTATCATGAGTCGTTTACAACATGTACTAATCATGATTAATACTGTAAATTTGTTCATTACAAACAATCACTGTCTATTTACAAGTCTGTTACAGCACGTGGCTTCACCTTTCTGCCTGCGCGAGTGAAATAATTAGCATTATCCGGAGGATTCAAAACCACAGGCTGTTTATTGCTATCGGTACGCTCTGACCCTACGTTAATCATTCTGTCATTAACTGACATTTCAAGGCCAGAATTCAAAGCACCATGGGTCAATAAAGGCGATTCTTTAGATTTCAACAAATCTTTACGATTTCTGCGATATTGTTGTCCGTTTTCTGTTTCAACAATATAGGACCTATCGCTGTGATTTTTTATAACAACAGCGGGACTCCAGGACTTGTCTAGACGTTGAATTCTAGCGGAATCTCCAACATTTAAGGGAGACAGAGGTTTAGCATTTTTATCATAGTAATGCTTAGATTTGACCTTGGATTCTGCGATTTTTTGTTTGACAACATCAGGGGGCGGTACTTGTGGTATAAGGTTTTCCCTTAAAGTAGGAAGGATAGAACGAAGTTGTCGTGATTGGACTAACTGCGCTGGACTGAAATTTCCTATATCAGCGAGAGGAGTAGAACGATATTCTAAAAATCCTATTCTCGGATCAGAATTATCATCTTTTGCCTTTTTAAGTATACGTTTGGCAACTTTAACCATCGCCTCAGCCAAACCATTTGTTTGGTTATGATATGGACTACATTTTACATGTACAAAATCCCATGACCTTGAAAACTCCTCAAATTCTTGACTAGAAAAACATGGACCCCCATCAGTGACTATTTTCTCACATATGCACCAATGTGACATGATATCTTTCATGTGGGAAATAACAGTTGAACTTTTTATGTTCGAAAGTTCATGAACTATGGGATACCTAGAATAGTAATCGGACATGACCATGAAATTTTTCTCATTAAGTGAGAACAAGTCACACCCTGCAATTTGAAACGGATAGTCTGGGATTTCAGAGCTGATTAATGGCTCCTTTCTTAAAGAATGTTTATTGCACATTTATTAATATTCCGTCATTAGGAATGATTTACCTTTTTATATAATATTCTTTCCTTAGGAATTATAATTAAACTATTTAAAATATTCCGTCTTTAAGAATTATTATTTTTCCAGTTCTGACACCATGTTACGTCATGGGTTTATGAACGACATAAATATATATGTGCTCTAACTACGTTTATTATCTAAACTATATTCTATGATACATGTGTTTACATATCAGTGTCCGCGATGGTAGTATATTAAGATCTAGGGAACTCTCTATTATAAAGGAGCTGTACGCACCTAGAGTATCATGTTACAGTTTACTCATCATGCTACAAAGTTGCAGTCTAAAATAAATTTTAAATGGTAATCGAATACCTCCCCTGTATGAATAAGTTTCATATGGTGGCTTCTTAACACCATATCAATTTTTTAGCCACGAAATGTGAAAAATTAAATACACGAAGAAGTCCATTTTTTGGCTGCAAGACATTTGTTTTGGAAAAGTTGTTCCGGTTACGTGGTTTCCTGCTTACATTTGTTAGTGCATGTTTGAACGGGAAACTAGCTGCAATCGTGCCAATCGCAACTTTTCGGCCCTTTCCGTCACTCTTCGGATTAAGATAATAGCAGAGGTAGTTCCGATTGCAATCGTGACAATTCGGGCGATTCCGTCATGCTTCGGAATCAGACGAAGTAATATTACGGAAATCTAAGCTATTTTAGTTACTTCGGTAATCCCAGTTTGTTTATATATAAATAGGATTTCTATTTTTACTTGATTCTGTTTCAATTCTTTTTCAAGACGCAAAAGTTAGTTTCTTTTATAATTGGTTTCTGTCTTTATTAGTTTTATACAATGGTTACTGTAGTAGTATTCCGTCTCCAAAGGGCAGTCCTGCTTACCAAAAGATCGTGACCGAATCACGCAGAATATTAGTGCATGATCAAGTTATATTTAGATATACTGACAGAGTTTAAACGTCTTGGTGAGGTAATCTAAAAATAGCACATGCATATCATTAACCTTACCACGTGCTGATCTCCTGTGTTGTTTACTTGTCTCTAAAGCTGCTATATAAATGAAATTAGCATAACTCTCTCGAAAAAAGTGGAAATGAAATGTGCTCACTTGTTTTCCTTCAGTATGATAGATTGATCTCCACGTGAGAGCCAATATTTTTACGATTTATTATTTTCTCTATTAGTTTTACACAATAGAGAATAGATTTCGTTTTTACAAAAAAAGTTACTACTGTTATCGTCAGCATGTTCCCGTTCAGTTATAATCAGTGGACTTCTGGTCCCTATTTGGTCCAAATTTGCACGCATAACACTGGTGCTCAAACAAATGGGCACAGGTGCTCGTCCAGTCTTGGGCTTACCCTACCTATCCCTTTATAAAAGTGAAACTTTTTTTCGAGAAAAAAAAAACAACTAAATAAACCCTTTATGATTTACAAATACCGTAATTCAAAAAAAATGTGATAATAAATTGAAAAAAAAAAAAAAAAAAACAATTTTAAAGGGAAGGGATGATGGCACAACTGAGCAAGCCTTTCCTTTTAAAAGGAAACTTTATTTCTCTTTGTGTTGTCCATTTTAGCATTCTTAAGGTGAAAAGCAGCAGAAAAAGTTAGGCAAAAATACCAGATTTCTACCTTTTTCGCATTTTTTTAGTGTTGTTTCGCATTAACTTAAGTGTTGGTTCAATATCAATCACTTGTTTTAGAAAACGATATGATATTTGTTAGCTCATATCTAGAACAGGGCCTTTCAAATAGAATTCTATTTGAAAGACCCTGCATAGAATTTCTAGATATATCATACTCACGATGTTTAATCACGACCGGTTGTTGTTAATTAAATTAGTAGGGCGTAATTTTAAGAAAGATGTTGTGCCTGTTCATAACAAAATCACCAGCTTGAGCAGAAACTAAGCATTAAAATAAAAAAAGCCGAAGGACCCGAAAATGTAACCAAAATATTATTATTTTAAACTGTCATGCAGACCTATGCAAAAGAAATGCTGTGGATATTTGGGGTACACAATACTACGAACCTCTGGGTTGATCACACAGTGGGTCAGACATGCAGTGAATCTTTCAGTAAGCAATATTAGGAATCTTTGGGTAGGAATGTTGTAGAACTTTCAGTAAGCAATGCTGTGGATTTTTTGGTTAGGCAATGCTCTGGATCTTTGGCTAAACAATGTTGCAGTCTATTTTGGATAGGCAATGTTATGGAGCAATGTAGTGAATCTTTTGGTAAGGAATGTTGTAAATCTTTCGGTAAGCAACAATATGAATCTTTTTGGAAGAAATATCGTGGATCTTTGGGTAGGCAATGTTGTGGATATATGTGTAACATGAGCTGTCACAGGAGACAGCCAAGCTCGACTAATAAAATACTGGACACAGTAAGGAGGACAAAACTATGAAAGAAAAATCAATTATGTATAATAATGTATTAAGTTATAGTAAAAAAATAACATTTGTTAACATAAATTCCAAGATCAAGGGGAAATAATTCTAGAAATAGTCACGCTAGAGTTATGAACCTTGTCACACAACATGTGTGTTATGATAAGAAATATATATTTGAAGTTTGAAGTAGATACCTTAAAAAGTAAATAAGTTATAATATTTCTTAAAGAAAATCCTAAGTTCAAAGAGAGATAAATCTGTAAATATTGATTCAAGAGTTATGAACATTGTCACATAAAATGTAATTGATGATAAGAAATAAGTATTTGAAGTTTGAGGTAGATACCTTTAAAACTAAAAAAGTTATAGTAAAAAATAACATTTTTCTAGTAAAAAAATCTAAGTTGATGGGGAGATAATTCTTGCAATATTGGTGCTAGAGTTATGAACCTTGTCACATAAGATATGGATGATGATAAGGTACATATATTTGAAGTATGAAGTTGATCCCTTTAGAAATAAATAAGTTACAGTAAAAAATAATGTTTTTTAAGGAAAATTCTAAGTTCAAGGGGAGATAAATCTGAAAATATTGGTGCTAGAGTTATGAACCTTGTCACATAAGATGGGGATGATGATAAGGTACATATATTTGAAGTATGAGGGTGATCCCTTAAGAAATAAAGAAGTTACAGTAAAAAATAGTATTTTTTAAGGAAAATTCTAAGTTCAAGGGGAGATAAATCTGAAAATATTGGTGCTAGAGTTATGAACCTTGTCACATAAGATGGGGATGATGATAAGGTACATATATTTGAAGTATGAGGGTGATCCCTTAAGAAATAAATAAGTTACAGTAAAAAATAGTATTTTTTAAGGAAAATTCTAAGTTCAAGGGGAGATAAATCTGAAAATATTGGTGCTAGAGTTATGAACCTTGTCACATAAGATGTGGTTGATAATAAGAAACATATATTTGAAGTTGATACCTTAAGAAATGACAAAGTTAAAGTTATAGTGAAAAATATTTTACTGCACCAATACTTTAATCTGAAATATGGATGTGGACGCCGGGGCGAGTAGGACAGCTCTCCATATACTTCGTATAGTCGAGCTAAAAAGCGTTGTTGATATTTGGATAGGTAATGATGTAGATATTTGGGTGAGCAATGTTGTGGATCTTTGGGTAAAAAATATTGCGAATATTTGGGTAAACGATATTGTGGATCTATGAGTTAACCACGCTGTGGATCTTTGGGTAAGCAATGCATTGAATCTTTGGGTAAATCAGTTGATATTTGGGTAAACCAGTGTGGAGCTTTGGGTAAGCAAAGTTGAGGACCTTAAGGTAAACAATAACATGAATCTTTGGATAAACCAGGCTGTAAATGGTAAAAAATAAATAGGTAGCAATTATTAATAAAGACTTAGTGTATAGCAGACCTTTGGATAAGTGCTGTTCAACTTAGGGTAAGCTACATTGTGCACATTTGATTTCTGTGTAAGTCAGGTTGTGAATCTTTGGGTAACAGGTACAAGAAAAAGACATCATTTTTTAGATTATATTTACAGTAAATAAACTTTAATATAAAGTTTATCATCATAGTGCATTTATAATACAAGTGATCACATATATCAGTACATAATGAAAAAAACAACAACAACAATTGCATTAAATATAGATAAAAGGATGGTGAGGCAATGGAAAATTGGCTGTACAAAGCACGACATATTTGGTCCTAACAATGTCATAAGAAAATAAAACAATAGCTGTCAATAAGGCGTCAGTCATGCTCGACTATTCTCGGGACTTGAAAGTAAAACAAGAGCCTGGATAATGAAAATTTTTCCATGTTCCTAATTCTGTCTAATTCTAAGTAAAGGTTAGAGGCCTCCTATTATGCTCTCAAATAAGTGTGTGAAGTTTCAACCCATTTCCTTCAGTAGTTTTGGAGATACCAACTTGCACACAAAAACTTAAACAAAGTGTGATGCTGACACCTGGGTGAGTGCAATAGCTCTCCTTATTCTACGAATATTCTAGCTAAAAAAATAACACAGTTCAAATAGAAACCGCAGTGATGTGATTATCTTAATATAAATATGCACTTTCAAATTATCAATATTAACAGTTTTTGAAAGACGTCCAGATAGTCTCTATTTTTTCTATAAAAAGTCATGAAAATAATGCAATAATAAAATGTCATGATTTTCTCATCTCATGCCATCGAATAGAAATCATACAAATGGAATTGTAAATATGTTCTTAACGGGATATTTAGGCAAAATAATGACACAAATATTAAAATGATCTTATGTACTGAAATCACGCTAAAATGACATTTCTTGAAGTTTCAGCATGAATTTCTGTTTAAATTCTATATATTTTGGGTTTGAAGCGTAAATATATCTATATATGTTGAACAAAATTTAGACGCCAATAGAATCCCCAAATAGTTTTAAAACAAGTCAGGTGACTTGAACAAACCCTTGAAGTTACAATAACAGATATTGTGGATATTGTATGATTGAAACAAGTCTAAGTCATTCATTTGACATGTTTTTTAACGTTTCCAGAGTTCACTTTGA